CAACAGGCTTGGTAATGATGATGCTGGCAGAAGTGTCATACTTGTTCGCAAAAGGTTTCAGATTGTCTGCGGAGCTWTTAGAAGATGTCATATTTTAGATTTTGGTTTGAATGGGATTCAAAGCTACGTTATTACAATTTTTTTTAAATTTTTTAAATTTTTCATCGCTTACATGGTAAGCTGCTTTTAACGAASTTTGATCTTTTGGCAGGAAATGAGAAAACCTTCAATTATACTTCTGACAAGTATAGGAACTTTGCTTTCGGTTTCCTAACTTTTGTTAGCTGAGAAACATAAACACGCGTTGGCCGTCCTTACAGGTGGACTATACTTCTAGAAAAGCTTTCCATAARAAATATTAATTTCTTATTGACGGCATAACCTCTGTTCAGTCTAATACCAAAATGCTCTTCAGGGATAAAATTAGTTGATGAGAAAAGTCCTAAGCATTTATTTCAACGATAGATTATCCGTTGATAGACTCACCTGATGTTGGAAGCTTCACTTTCACTTCGTTTATATGGAGGCTATCGAAAACAATTAACTCAGACTAGCCGTGTCACTAAGCATCATCTTTCGGCATCGGCCTCAGGGGAGTTGTTGAATTATCGTTTTTTCGAGTATGTAAGCGGCTTTATWCATTCTTTAGTTTAAATGCCTTATATTTTCTAGACCCCTCTGGAAAACTTGCAGAGTTGGTAGACCTAAGCAACTAAATTCAGCAGCATTCGATTAACTTTTGTTTTCGTTGGTCTACCCTTTCCACTATTCTTAGCTTTTGTAAGTGSAATGTAACCTCATACCAAAGTAAAGTATGCGTATTGATCCGGTAGCCGATCTTCTGGAAGATTTCCGAAAAGCGGATTTTGGCRGTGAAGAAAATTATTCTGCTTTAAATTATTTCAAAAAAAATTTATTACACCATTACTTAAATGCAGGTAACAGAACTAGAATTAAAGCCACATGGTTTTTAGTTAGCTCTAACCTTCAAAAGGCGCTTATTTGACAGCTGTCAGATCATTASTTTGTGAATTGTATCATTTTGAGTGAATCAACTTTTCTTATTATTAAAAAAACAGTTTCCGGATACTGCCCTAGGAAAAACAACTATCAGAGATTGGTATGCTGAGTTTAGACGTGGAGAATAAAACACCGAAGACGGTGAACACAGTGCACGAACAAAAGAGGTTGTTACCGACGAAAATATCCGAAAAATCCACAAAATAATTTTGGATTGCCGTACAGTGAGGGGATTTGAGATAGCAGGTACTCTAAAGATATCAACTGATAGACACATCATATCACTCATGAGTATTTTTTATTTTTTTTTTAATTTTTTTTTTTTTTTTTTTTTTTTTTTTTTTTTTTTTTTTTTTTTTTTTTTTTGTGAGAAAGTGGGTACTATGCGTGCTCATCTTTGACCAAAACCAACAATCATTCAGTCATCCGAGTGGACTACACATAATGAACCCGCTCCAAAGCGTGGAAAAACACAGCAGTCGACTGGCAAGGTTATGGCGTCTGTATTTGCTTGGCGCTTGGAATTCTATTAAATACCGTGAAGAAAGTATCTTAGATCATTTTAAGGACGAAATCGCCGGAAAGGGACCACATTTGAAGTAAAGGAAAGAGCTTTTTCACAAAGACAATGCACTGTATCACAAGTCAGTAAAAATTATGATAATTATGATCTGGCCCCCAGCGACTATTTTCTGTTCTAAAATCTCAAAAGAAAACGCGTTGGGATTAAATTTTCGTCTAATGAAGACGTGAACGCCAAAACTGAGGCCTATTTTGAAGCAAACAACAAATTGTACTACAAAAATGGTACCCAAAAGTTGGAAGCGAATTTTGTCTAATAAAAAATTTGTTTTACTATGGTAGCGGAATTTTCAATTGACCTGTTAGTGATCAAAGYACCGGTCAAAATTTTTCATTATGACAAAATGGGGCTTTCAAAAAAAAAGTCGTTTTTGCGAGGCGAAATTTTTCTCACTGACTCTAAAAACAACGTTTGGAAAAAAATGCGTTTTAGAGCTGATTCAACAAAGTTATAACATACTTACGTCTATATGYATAGCCGAAGCTTTTTGCCGGATCAACTTTAATTTTTCGGAGAATATTTTCACATATAAGTAATCAAGTGGATATAACGGCTTAGATGCGAAAATTCAAACCCAGCCAGTGTGGAAGAACGGTCTTTATTGAGAAGTCAAAAAAAAAAAAACGCACGTTGAAAGATCTTCAAAGCAGGACAAGTAGTTGAGACTCGAAAAATACCACTTTCCGTTGTGCTAGCCAACATTCCGCAGTGTTAAATTCGTCGCTACACAGTACATACTTATTGTTGCTGTTGCTGGGATGATAGTGCATTGCGACCATGCCCTGCAGCACTGAAAATGCATCAAAATAATGAGCATGGAATGTGCATTTAAAGCATGTCGATACCTGCCTGTGAATCAATACACTCTACTTGCCCCCCGCCACCCGGCAACTAAGATTRTGCGCAATCAGACGAAATGAAGAAGCGTCTCGGTAGCAATAAGGGACGAGGGCGACGAGGATCAATAGCGCGATTGATAGCACAAGCGACAGTAGTGCTTCCAGCATTTAAGTTGGCCGAGCGTTCGGAAGGCGGCAGTGTAGCTAATTGTGGCCGCACATTTATAAAAAATATATATATACATACATTTATATACATATAAATGCCTCGTTTCCTCTTTGCCGGTCGCTCGAATTTGTCGTAATGCCGAACAGCTGTCGTAATTTTGCTGCGATTATGGATTTRGTTGGCTATGTTGTTAGCGAGAGGTTTGTTGCTATTGTTGTAAGCCATGTACACATGCAGATTATTCGCTTTATAACACGCACTCGCCGGCACATACATACATACATACTCATGCATGTAATGTAGCGCATTGAACGTGTCCGTCAGTTGATTTGCATATTTTGCTGGCCGCAGAGTATCAACAGCACAACAACAACAATAAGAGTTATCACAACAAAGCCAGCAATTGCTCGGTTTAATGTAAAAATGTAATAAACGCGCAGCAGCAGCTGAAGCGCCCCATAATTTTCTCGCTGCCTCAGCCTTGCGAGATCGATGTATTTTTTGATGTTCGAGAGATCGCTGCTTGGAGATTGGTTACAGGCGAGTTCTTGTAAATTGGAGCAGAAGCAAAGCAGAAAGTGTATAAAATTACGCTTACAGGGCACAAACAAATATATGTGATATTTTTCTAGGGGACATACGAGGTCSGTTTGATAAGACTGCGACTCGGTTGATTTCTCACAAAATATCATTTACATGCAACTTTAGTCCAACTACTCGTTTTATGGAACTGAGAGCAAACAACTTATTGAGTTCGGCAAATAAACAGTCTCGTAAATATTTATAATTCGAAGCAGCATGGCTTCGTGGGTTGAACACAGCTTCAGTTTTGACATGAAACACTCAGCGAATATTGAAATTGGAGAATAGTCCATCAAAAGTTGACTATGACCTCCCGGCCTTTCGGAAAACTGTCGAAACATTGACTGTCTCTAGATTAAGATGTGAAGAAGCTTAAAATGGATCGATTCATATTGTCTAAATTGAACCCGTTAAGTCTATTTTAATATACGCAACCCTTAAAAAATGGCTCGGTCTCAAAATATTTTATTCAAATTAAGTGATCTTCACAGAAACGAAMCGAGTAGCTCTACTGAGCCCTTCAGTAATACCAAACATTCGACCAAGGACTTAAAGCGCCAAAGTATTAGCTTTTTCTTACTGAAATATTTTGACAGGCTTCTAAAGACGCGCATAGGGGAGGTGCATTCCGAAAGACCATCTATTTTAAAAATATGTCAGTGAATAATGCACTGCATAACATTGTGCCCTGCCCTTAGGTAGCCATAAGGCTTAAAGAATTCGCTGTTCGGAACTTCCTAGATATTGATATTGATACAGCTCTTGATCGGTTTGGCGTTAAATCGAACCACAAATTCCTTATTCTCAGTCTTCTATGCGTGTAAGTGACGGAATGAGGCAGCATACGTGCTCTGCGAAATGTGAGTTGGAGCCCACCACAAGATGGAGTTTTTTCTCCTCTTCTATGAATCTTAGTCGTTAACGACCTGCTGAAATTTGAAGATCGTTGCTGCAGGATGATTGGTTATACAGACGATCAAGTACACATGGTCAAAGSAAGGTTTTTAGTACCGTTTACAAGTTGACGCGAGGGTATCTCAGCGTTGTAAAAAAATTGGGCGGCCGGAAGTGGCAATTAACCCGACGAAAGGCAAGAAGGTATCGATTGCCTTCTACTGCTGCAAAAAAATTATTGGCAAAAGTAATCTTCTCACTCTATGACACCATAAGCAAGCCATTTCTATGGATGATAAGGAGTGCCTATCCTCGTTATCATTTGCATGGAGGCTAGGTCATAGCGGAATCGCGAGCAACTGTAAAACTACTGATCTAGGAACCCGAATCGGTAAAATKGAAAAAKCGATCGTAAGAGATCCAGTGAGCTCTTTGCCTTTAGTAAGACCAGCGTCTTCTCCCTGTCGGCATCTATAATGTTGAAAATYTTACCGGAGGCGATCTGTATGTAAGGTGACGAGGTAGAAATATATCAACACTTTCTTATTGAATTCTCCGCGTTTGCGATTYCACGGCTCAAAGACTTGGAAGCTCACACCTTCAGATATCCCACCGAGCTCGTGATTGTAAGATCGAAAACGGGAGTTCTGTTTTTGTGACATCACAACGRATTGCTTATAGTAGCCCATGTCTGATCTCCGAATCAGCAAAAGAATCCAACATAATCGTTGTCTTGCACAATACCCAAGGTCAAATTTTGTGAAACTATTTTTCTTAATAATTAAATACACCATATAAGGGCTTCAATTAGACCGGTCAGTGTGTACGACAGCTATAGCTTAAATTCGATACTTTATTACCTGTATATTAAATAACACATACAGCTACAATATAACATAATTTTTATTTGCAGCTCACCACCAACTTTAGGCTTCTGCAAGCGTGCTTTCTGTCGTTGTCGTCGGCAGCATCTACATTTTTCTCACCACCACCGTATTCAGCATGTCGCATCAGACCGCACGTCGCGCACAAGCGCCTACAAGTCTCGAATGTCCGCTGGCATCACTGGGACGCAACAGTAGCACCGTCATCGATTCGCTGACGGGACATCATCAACCGCCATATCATCATCCACTCAGTTCCAGTCCACTCGATCCGCAGGTCTATCAAATGTCACGCAAATCGCCGGACCTCAGCATCGACGCCGACGATATCATCTACACACCATCGGCTTCGCAACAAGGTGATACCGTAGATGGTCTGCTCAATGAATTGGTTAACATTGAAGAAGATGCGGAAACTGCTGCAGTAGCTGCAACGGCGCTGAATGCGACCGCGCAACGTAATCACACGCTACCAGAAATGTATCAGTTGCCGCATAGCGGCTCACATGGCGGTAGTACAACAGGCGGCCGTATAACTAGACATCAGGGTGGACGTTGCAGCGTACCGACGGTGTCCAGTGCGGTCAATGGTGGTAGCACACGTAATATGCAATACTTTTTGGAGAAGAAAATGGACGCGCTCTACTTGGGCAATGCGATACGTGCGCTTCCCTTGGGTTCGGAGGCGAGTCATTTTCAGAATGAGCGCTATTTTCTCGAAGACGGRCTGCGTAATATATGCAATTATAATAATGGCACCGAACGACTAGCGGGTGAGTTTCGGCAATCGTGCAAATTTTGATGAAATTTATTTTAATTGCACTTTTCTTCATGCTAGATGCGCACTACTTGCGCCACCACGCCTCCAGTCCCAGCGAAACGAGCGGTTCGGATCGTTACCTGCTAAATCGCACCGGTTCACCGACGGATGCATTCAGCTCTTCCAATCATTTGGAAAATTTTGCCAATACCAGCAACAATACCACATCCTCTAACCTTGCGCTGGATCAACGTTTCCATCATACCAAAGTGAAAAGTCTCTCCGATGGGCTATGCAACATCGGACGCTTCTCACCTAGTCTGGATCAAGGTTATGCCACGCTTGTTTCGCCCTCGCCAACGGGTCATCATCCAAACACAATCACAACGCATAGCATCGTACACCACCCACCGCCGTCGACSACCACTTTAACAACAGTGACACGCACACGACACGACAATGTCGCGCCACCACCATGGAATAAGAAGACCTTCCGTTCGGGACCACTCTTCGATCGGCTACCCGACGATGTGGTYTTGAAGATTTTCAACTGGTTCGACAGTTGCGAGTTGTGTATTTTGGCGCGSGTGTGTCGACGTTTYGACCAACTYGCCTGGCGCCCAGTGCTCTGGAAGGTGATCTCGCTGAAAGGTGAACACCTGAATGGCGATAAGACGCTAAAAATGATTTTCCGACAATTGTGCGGGCAAACATGCAACGGCTCGTGTCCGGAAGTTGAGCGTGTAATGCTCTCCGAGGGCTGTCGAATTTCCGATAAAGGYTTGCAGTTGTTAACGCGACGCTGCCCGGAATTGACACATCTGCAGCTGCAAACCTGCATGCAGGTGTCGAATCAAGCGCTCATGGACGTACTTACAAAATGTACAAATTTGCAGCATCTCGATGTGACSGGTAAGTACGATTGCAAGTGTATTAAAGTGTAAAGACTTTATAAAGCTAAAATGGAGTGACTTATGTTCATCATTTTATATCTTCCAGGCTGCAGTCAGGTGGTCAGCATCAGCACGCATCCAAATCTGGAACAACCACGCCGTCTGCTGCTRCAATATTTAGATCTGACGGATTGTATTGTCTTAGACGACGTCGGACTTAAAATCGTGGTGAAAAATTGTCCACAACTGGTGTATCTATACCTTAGACGCTGTATAAAAATTACAGGTGCGTATTGACAGAACTCACGCAATAGTTTTAAYCAGCGATAAAAAAGATTTCCAACTCGAATGTCATTGAAAGTGTGAACTTTGACAGTTGGGTTGAGGTCATGGAAGAAGAAAGACGGCCAAGCTGACGGCATCCCTTTATCGCTGGTTATAACTACATACATACAGATATATGTATACTAAATTATTATGCTTCCAGATGCCGGCTTGAAATTCGTACCAAGTTTTTGCATCGCACTCAAGGAGCTCAGCATATCCGATTGCGTAAACATTACCGATTTCGGTCTCTATGAACTCGCCAAACTCGGCGCTGTTTTACGTTACCTCTCCGTWGCGAAGTGTGATCGCGTCTCCGATGCTGGACTCAAAGTGATCGCGCGTCGCTGCTATAAGCTGCGTTACCTAAATGCGCGCGGCTGTGAAGCGGTGAGCGATGATTCCATCACTGTGCTGGCACATTCCTGTCCGCGTCTGCGTGCACTTGACATCGGCAAGTGCGATGTGAGCGATGCGGGTCTGCGTGCGCTCGCCGAAAGCTGTCCGAATTTGAAGAAGCTCAGTTTGCGGAATTGTGATATGATAACGGACCGTGGCGTGCAGTGCATTGCTTACTACTGTCGCGGCCTACAACAGCTGAATATACAGGATTGCCAGATATCGATAGAGGGCTATCGGGCGGTGAAGAAATACTGTAAGCGCTGCGTTATAGAACACACAAATCCAGGTTTCTGTTGAGGCGTCAAGTGTTATACATAAATGGCGTGTTGTACGCATGGTCATTATAATTTTTAGTAAAGTGTGTGTGGCACAATGGTGAATAGAGGCAATATAATGAATTTCCTGTATGTGCGTTTAGGTTTTTTGGACTTAATGAAGTTAGAAATATTTCACAAAATGAAATTAAATTGAAGTAGCACACAAGATTTCGTATAGACTTTGCTATACTGCTCACTTGAAATACTCTGCATTTAAACTTATTATYACAAAGTAATTTTCATCTAAACKTGGATTCGTAAATGGAGTTGCAAAAAATATACACAGCTGTCAGAAAATCATATGCACTCACATAAAACGGTATAACTGCATAATTATCATTTCCTTTTAGCCCATCTTATTCTTTTATTAATACGCTACTTTGACCGGCTAGCGCAGCTTATACTAGATTTTCCAATTTTTTAATGAATTCCAMCAAACTTGTCAGTTTACGGAAAATAATGCGTAGCAAATATTTACATATGTGTATTTTACTTATTTTTTTAATTTTATAGAAGCAATCTATGTTTAGGTATTTGCTGTCTCAAGCGTTGTGCAAACGTTTCTATCTTCATTTACTTATATATATAATATTTATAAAACATATTTTAACGAACTTGTAAATACAGTAGATACATATAAATTATGCAAGTAAATTAAAATTTCGTTAATATGATAATTGATGAAACAAAATTATTTAGTATAATTGACAGTGTTTGTTTTTGTTTATGTAAATTATTATTTTTTATTGAATTACATATAAAAATCATTATATATGTATGCATATATTAATAATAAATGACACTGAACACAATTGAATAAACGCGCWTCATTTAATTGTTAAATCCTTATAKAAATTATTTATTGCGCCAACACATCTAATTTGTATTCAAAATGTGTAGGAATTTAAATTTTTTGTCATCCTGTTGTCGGTTAGCAGTGCTGCCAAGTTCATAAAAGTATATGCCAAAAACATCTGATAAACCAATACCAGGTTTAGGTTAGAAACGATTGTGTAATGTCAACTTGTAAACAGGCAATTTTCGCATTACTGACTAAAAGTTTACAGTATTTTCACATTAATAAATAATATTGAAAGTAAAGGTGTACACTTTCGATATTTTCAAACAAAAACGAACTGAAACATGGCGAAATATTTGGCGCAGATTATTGTGCTTGGCAGCCAAGCCATTGGTCGTGCATTTGCGAAAGCGTTGAAGCAAGAAATAGCGGCATCACAGGAGGCTGCACGTCGCGGCGGTGGTGGACAGCAGGGAGAAAAACGTGCGGAAGCTAATGCGCGAACTGGTAAATTAAATGCTAATTATATTTATACAAATWAGTATTTCAATTGCATTTGTCTTTTTACATCGTTGTGCAGGCATGACATTGGAAGAGGCCAAACAAATATTGAATGTGGACGATTTGAAGGATCTGCAGAAAGTTATTAAAAACTATGAACATTTGTTTGCGGTGAATGAAAAAGCGAAAGGCGGTTCCTTTTATATACAGTCAAAAGTGTTTCGTGCAAAGGAACGTATTGATCATGAGTTGAAACATCAAATGGATGCGGCACGGTCAAAACAAAGTGAAACGTGATGAGGTGCAATGCTATTGTGATGAAAATAATTAGCAATTGCGCATAATTATTTGATATCTATAAATAGGTTAATTTTTCTAGAATTTATTTAACGTAAGCGGTAAAAGAAAATCTTTGAAATTGCGATGAAAGAAAAAAAACGATTGACAGTAAATACAACGTAGAACAAAGCACGGGCTAAAAATGCAGGAGATCAATGCGCTTGCCATGTTTTTTGTATAACGATCAAAGGCATTGTAAATAAGAAAATGTTAGTTTAGAAATAAAACTTGAATTTATTTTAAGATTTTGCAAAAAAGTGGCTGGAAGACAATAAGTTCCTTTGTACTGTGTATAGAGCGCTTGACTAACACCTCTCCTGCTTTCAAATAAAGTCTTTAAAGTGCGAGCATGTCTTGCATAAAAATATATATGAACTTGTTGAAACTTAAAAAATATGTGTAAACATTAATAAAAAAATGTTTTTATTAAAAAATGCTCTGTACATTATTTCCAAGATAATTTTTGGAAATGCAACACTATTATGTTTTTGTTACTTTTAAACAAAACAATGTTAACTTTGGTATCACCAAGGTAAGAATACCCTTCACAAATAAAAAAAAAAAAAGGTTCCATACAGGAACTTCATTTTGATCGTTCAGTTTGTATGACAGCTACATATATGTGTTTGATAAATGCAGCTGTTTGCGGAGAACAGGACGTGCTCACAATTTCAGATCGATATCTCTTAGCTCAGAGATTAGTTTTTAGTTATACAGAAACACGGACAAACAAACTGATATGGATAAATCGACTCAGCTAGTCAGAATGATCGTGTATATTTATACTGTGCTGTGTTGAACACAATGCTCGCGACAGATTGCAAACGACATCTGTCAAATATTAAAATACACACGTTCTTATTGACACACTTATTTTGACAGCTGCACGACAGTTGTCGTTCTCACTAACTTCAACATTTTCTTATATTTGCCAACGACAGTAAGACGACAGTCGAGAGATGAGGAGGAGTGGTGATGCCACTAATAGGTAAAATGTCAAATTACTCAAAGCTCTAATAAACCTGACGTTATTTTACAAATAAAAGCATAAAATATCTCTGTTACATCATTTGTAATAACAATTGATAATTTAAACGRATAAATTTACCTATTTACTTATTTTTTTGCATAAAAAATTTCACTTTGAACARAATATAAAAATTTCATTGAAGTGCAAGGTATTAGTATGGCCACAACGAAATTGTGTACATGCAAAATGGACAACTGCGTTATTTTGTTCATGTMGTAGGATTCACAACGCCMTTTTCAGTTCACTGTCGTGCTGCTGCAGTCTATCGCGAGCATTGTGTTCAGCACATGACGAACACAGCTGGTGGGACAAAACTGCCAGGTTTAACAAAATTGCGAAATTCGTAGTTGCCAGAATGTTCGATGGCTAAGTATAATAAAAGATCTACTATATAAGGGCTGCCAGACTGTACAGCAGATACAGTTCTAATTTAGAGAGCTGCCGCGTAGAGTTAAAAACCGTTTCCCCAATTGTTGATTAGCAGCACTCTGCCAGCTACTTCCTGGTTTTTAAAAAGCCTTTAATACCAAGAGAAGAAGTTGTGGTTAAGTTAGCAGGAACATAACAGACAGTTGGTTGCTATTAAGACATTGCGGAAACTGGCCAAAATGAAATATAAGTATGAAGTTTTAAATTCAGATTACAATTTGTTATTACATTCCTTATATTTTGTGCAACGCCACTAAGAAAAATWGCCAGTTGCAATTAATTTTATTATAGTTTTGTTAATTTATTATTTAAGCCGATATACATTTATATAAATGTATCGATCCCGATATTATTTTTCCAGAAAAAGAGTAAACCCATGCAACACTGTAAAGGTACAAAAAAAAAAAAAATAACAAAAATGATAACATAGGAATTTGGAATTAAAACAAAAGTTAATAAACCATTTGTGCAAATATATATCCTAAAAGATAGTAATAATTTTTCATATTAAAATAGTACGATACTTAACATTGAAACGCAGCTAGACAGTGAGTGTGTTTTCGAAAACGTCAAAACTCAAACGAAATTCCAGCACAAAGTACACGTACAAAGATTAATTTCCTACCACCCAACTACAGCAAGAGCAAGAACAGATTCCCATTTACAGACGTTATCGTTCTGCATGTCTGCGCATTCCAACGTAAGTGAAATTTTCTTTGCAGCGAAACTGAGTATAACGAATTAATGCTTTCTAGCAAATGTAATTCCTTTGCAGTGACAGTTTTCAGAGGACCTTCGCCGAAGTTGGAAGCAATAATTGAAAAGTCTCTAAAGTCAGCTACTTTCTTTAAAAAAGCTCCATATTGAGCCAGAAGTCAGCATTGTAAGGCATTGGCCAAAAGCATAGCTAACATTACAGTTCAGCAATCCTATATACTATAGTACGCGTATCTGCAACGTACTTGCATGTAATATCGATTAAAGTGTGCAATTTTATAATAATGAGTCTTCATTGACACATATTAAGTAATAATCGCGAGTTTTCAAGTGTAACATATTTATAATATTTTACGTATGTACATATATCATTACAGAAAATCCAACATATTCGCATATCCAAAAATTCGRAATTTATTGATTTACAATTGGTCATTGACAAAAAACACACGGTCAAATAAATGCTAATTTTACCTTGCCCCCGTTCTCTGTAAAACAAAAACAAAACAAAAAAATTAAGCAAAAATAGTGAAACTAAAGGGTTTTAATAAAATTAAATACAAAATATTTTAACATTGAAAAGTTCATATTGGCCAAAGAAAGTAAAAAAGAAATTGAAAAAAAGCAAAAATAACCTGCAAAGTAGTCAACAGCCGTAGCAATCGTATAACTCAGTGTTCGTGTTTAAAGAACTCGTGAAAACGTGAAGAGATTCGTGGGAACTTGTTCTCCACACGAACAAACAACCCCTGTTATCTTATTCGGGGCATATCTATTGTACATTCCACAAAAACTTTGTGACGCGCATTTAATACTCGCCACCCACTAACAAAACAACAAGCACAGCAGCACTATAGTTTTGTCTTGCAGTGTGTTCGTTATTCTGCTCTTCCACGCACTAGTTACTACCTTAAGACCATAATCGGTACGACGTCTACAAGTCTACTCTTGCACTACATACATATTAAGTTACTTGGAGTCGGAAACACTCCCACCAATACACACGTATCAATTGATATAGAAAAGTGCCAGCAAGTGCATTGTTGGCAAATATATTTTGCGTGAAGAAAAATTTGTAAAAGGAGAAAACCAGTTAGTGGACGAAAATGTTCTCTGGCCTAACAAATCAATTTACTTCATTGGTGGGCGCCGTCAAGGGCGGTCAAGCCGACGAAGATGTGCCTGCACCTACCCAAGATGCTGTTGCCGCTCCGGAAGTATCCGCTGCTACAGCAGCACCAACACCAGCTGCAGGCGCCGAACAAGCAGCGAATGCAGCTGGCGTCAGTGGGGAGCAGCCTGTKGAAGGTGAAGAGGGCGCTAAAAGGTGAGTAYTTTAAAATATAATAAAAAGAAGAAGAAAAACACAAACGCTAAATTGCAACTGAAAGTTTATATTTCCTTTTAACTATGAATTTGTTTTTGTTTTTGGTTTRTTGGTGAATCGTACAATATTTAATCATTGGGAAATATTTTAAAAATTAATTAAAAACAACTATTTTGGTAAAGTKAATATATGTGATACTAGTGGCATAAGTAACATATAGTATATTTTTAAATTTATAAAATAGCAGATAAAATTACTTAACCTGTAGTGTTTGTAAATTAATTCATTTGTAGGTGGTGTATGAATAGTGCAAATCGGTTTAAACGAATTTAAAATGCTGATCAGTTTACAATTTGATGGCATTTAAAAAATTTGAATGTGTTAATAACGAAAGTAATTTCAAATTACGCTAATACTAATTTGACCTACATAACTTTGTTGTAACACTTGTGYCACTGAAAAATGTCACTCCCTTAGAATACATAACCTTGTAATTATGCAGTTAATCCAATAGCAAGTTAATACGCAGTCACCATTTCTTATATAATCAGAAGTTATAAACATTTTCTGTTAGAGTAAAGAAAAATTATTTACCTTTCCAACCTCGTGACTAACGCGGCACTCACTTAAGCATTTTTGCAGCTGCCAAACCCAAAATCTGCAGAGTTACCCATTATAATGGCTACAACGGTGAGAGTAATGCGTAAAAAGTGGAGTGCAAATGAGTAGATACTCACATATGACCTCCATCCGACATGCCCTTTCAACTGTTATCAAGTTGCAATGAGTACGTAACAGCGAAAATTAAAATGAAATATTTTGTTCCATTTTTAACTTTGCAACTTACGGTGGAAAGGGTTTGTGTGACACATTATTCTTATCAGCAAATACCAGATTAAAGTAATAAAAAAGAACAATAATGCGCGGACATAATCGTAAAAGTACATTGTCAGCTGACATTTTTGCTCAGTGAAGCCCTTGTACCAATTTTTAACTTTGCTTCACCTTGTGGCAGAGCGCTCAATTACTTCTTTTTAATAATTATCATTAAAAAAAACGTGGAACCCGAAAATTATTGTTATTATTTTTCACTTGCATAATTATTTGCTGTTCATATTTCATTTTCAAGCAAGMAATTTTTAATATATCTGATTATGAGACAAGTGTATACAACAGCTTTTGACATTTCTCTATTATCCACAACGGTATTTATAAATTTTGCATGCTCTTACATGACTTTGTGTTGCTGGCTGAATACCAAGTATGTAAATATGCAACCAAACTGGTTTCCAAGCTACCGGTTCAACAATTACAACTTTGATTTAGATCCCTTAAGAACTTTATATCAATTTTTTGATTATTGTTCTTATTTATTGCCTTTTCTTGCAATATGTTTTTGCATTTTCGTGTTCTTCACGGCTATTTGAATTTATCATTCTCACGCTTGATTCGTATTTTTGGCGTTTATTTTTWATATTTGCATGTATATTCATTTATGCAACTACAAATTTATCATGCTAACTTCTTTTATGCAAGCATAGCGTGTTAAAGTGACCTTGCTTATTGTTTTTTCATAACAGTTATTCTGCCTTACCGAGAATTGTTATGTGTTGGCATATGTAATTGAAGTATTTTTTGTTTGTTGAAAATTATGAACTAATATTTTTGACATTTGACACAATTTGTTAAACWCTTAAGTTGATTTAAATATAATATTTATTCTTTGTTTGGTCTAGTTTTTCTATAAAAAATAATGAAGAAGTGTGTGTGTAAACATGGAACGTACATATATATATGTATGTATTTATAGTGCTTGTATCCATTAAAATATTACTGTGTGAATACATACATACATACATATATACATATATTTAAATAAACGGGTTAAATTTGTCGAAATTATAATACGAATTCGCTTTACTATTGAATACCGAAAAACGGCAGTATTTAGTCGAAACTAAAAAGCTTTACCTGGTTCTGATTGCTCAGTTTGTATGGCAACTACATATATSCTATAGTAGRCCGATCCGAACAGTTAACTTGAAGATTGTAGCGTTGTTTTGGACAATAATTCTAGTCGGATTTCGTTAGTAAATCTCCTCAAATAAAAAAGTWGTCCATACAATAGCRSCCAGTTTGTATGGTAGCTATATGCTATAGTAGTCCGATCTGAATAATTTATGCAGAGATTGTACCTTTCCTTTGAATAATAATTCGTGTAGAATTTCGTGCAGGTACCTTCTCAAATAAAAAAGTTTKCCTTACAAGTACTTGATTTTGAAAATTCAGTTTGTATGGCAGCTATATGCTATAGTAGTTCGATTTCTAAAATTTCTTCAGAAATTGTGCGGTTGACTTGGAAAATTATGCATGCGAAATTTCCTAAAGATTCCATGTCAAATAAAAAAGTTTTCCATACAAAAACCAGATTTTGATCGATCAGCTTGTATGACATGGCGTATGAGTAACCTGTTTGTGCTAMATATTTGTAAGAGTGTTGAGTAGGGGAAAATATGCCATATATGTACCTTTTGTTTTGTATATAAAATTACATTTAAATAGCTGACAAGATATTTTGAGTTATTCAAAAATAATTTTAATAATTAATAATTTTAAATATGATAAAAAAAGTTAAAGTAAATACACAATTGATTTAAGGAGCATTTAGATCGTGCGAAAAGCAATTTAATTGTGTTCATTTTTATAGAGTAATATTTATACATGAAACAAAATGCGCTTAAGGAGTATTTATTTAGTAAAATGTTAAGCAATCTTATAAAATTTTTACTATCGCCAGATTTCATTCGCACTACTCACTGAAGCATTAAGCATGTACATATATAAGCAAACATTTCCCAAGACAGCATTTATAAGTGATTTATATGTCTYTATTTGCACATGCTTTACGCCACTTCCTTACTATGCAAATAATTTACTGATTATTGTGCCGCAAATGGGTCCAACGTTGCGAACGGCCACACCACTTCACGCATTTATTGACTTAACTGCTSTTTCGGTGTTTGGTTTTGCACTACCAGTTATCTTATTGACATTATATTAGTAACTCACAACCACAACAATAGCACAGCGCATCTCGCATAGCACACTTAYCACTTTATTGACTGTAATCAATATTTAATTGCTAACGATATTCTACGTTTAATTCTATGCCGTCTATTATTATAAAGTGCTATTGCCACACACACACACACACACACACACTCACAAATACATATATACGCAGATATGTATATTTGTAGTGCTTACCAGCACTAACCAGCTTGCTTAGCCTTCACAGGTTGTCAAGTTACCTGCTCAACTGCGGCGGCAATAAATTTGRCCTGTCTATTACCTTGAATTCTTGCAAATTATGTGCGTTCTATAATTATTGGTGTTATATATCCACGGCAAACACGGGCGCTGCCAATACAGGTGTGTATGTGTGTGTTTAACTCACTTCTCGAATRTTTATTTTATCTTCGCACTTCCTTCTTTTTCATGCTTGTCCTTTCTTGCCGTTTAATATTTGATAGCGACATCGTGACTTCATAAATTAATCGCAATGTTCTTATACTCTGAATGGGGTATATTAAGTTTTCCATGCAGCTTACGTAGAAAAAAACGTCGGAGACTTTAATTGACAAAATATCATCATGAAATTTCCAGGCCAACGCTATCATCTCCGAACAAACTCTTCAAATCGGCCTACAATAACGTATAGCTGCCATACAAACTGACCGATGAAWAATAAGTTYTTGTATGGAAAACTTTTCTAATTGACAAAATATCTTCATTTGGCACATATTATTGTCCRGGCCAACGCTACCATCTCCGAAGAAATTCTTCAAACCCAAAGGTTTTGTGGCATATCTTCTCATACTGATTACTCTCACATACAACACACGCAGGTTACTCATACGCCATGTCATGACAAGCTGACTTATAAAAATCAGGTGCTTGTTCGAAAAAAATTTTTATTTAACAATGGATCTGCACGAAATTTGSCACAGATTATTGTCCAAGGCAACGCTACCATATCCGTATAAATTCTTCACTACAGCTTATAGCTACCATACAAACTGATCGATGAAATATAAATTCTTGAATAGAAAACTGTTTGATGTGAAGAGATATCTTCACATGRCAACACTACAATCTCCAATCATTTGATATTTCATGAAACATCATTAAATGAATATCTCTATTCATTTATATTGTGATAAAATCCAAAAATACTTTTTTTCTCCTACCATATTTGTTCAGTCTTCCCTGTGGGCAAATAACACCAGCCCCTTATCAATTTCACTTTTATTGACTGCTTSATATCTTTAATCCTCCTACTAGACATTTTGTACCAGCTCAATATCTTTTTTATTTGCTTGTTGTTGTGTTTTTTTCACATTATTTTTTTCTTTTTATTATCGAACAAGCGCGCACATGTTCACCGCCCATTACAAAGCATTTCAAATGTCACAGGCCTCAAGCGTCCACCCACGCGCTCGCAAAATAATGGAAAAAGGGCAAATATGCACGCACTTTCTGAGCGTGTCTGTCAACTGTGTATGGCAATAAGCGTGGACAGCTATATTGCTGTGAGTACATTTTGCGCTTCATGCGCTCACATACAATATTCATGACAGCACGACGTGCAAGGCATTCAATTTTGTTGAGTCATAGCTTTTGCGTAATTTTTTCTTTGCTTTTCTTCTCATTTCATTTTYACTGTTTTTTTCGCTCATTTGTTCTATTTAAGTCGATATGTGTTGCATAAATATGTCGTATATATGTGTAGACTTATATATGTMKGTATATAAATATATATTAGCATAGTTTTCAGCGCCCCGAACAAAGTGGTATTGAAACAGCGTGACTAAACAGACGCTTTGCCGTCAAAGTGGCTGCKATGGACTTGTTTAAAGTCACGCTCTCTGCGCCTCTCTGTCGCTTAAGCGCCTTTGGCTTGTAGCATCCTCCATCCATTTCCGCCATTACTTTGCATT